CTCTAGCTTTTTAAAATTTTAAAGTGCATTTTGTAATTTAATCTACACATTTAACAGGCTCTTATTAACATTAACTGTTCTCTAGTTAATTGCTATTTATTTTGACAGAATTCTCCTAAAAATGCGAAGTCTGAGGTTTAGCAAGATATTTAAATATATGACAAGTAGTTGGAAATAGGACTGAAGCCCAGGGGGAAAGTTGGACAAGAGATACTTACTTGAGGTTCATCAGCATAGAGATGATTACTATCCATGAGAATACAATGAAATTGCCCAGGGAAGAATTATACAAGAGACAAGAGAAGAGGACCACTTCAGGGTTGGGAGGAGGAAGGTGAGCTAGCAAAGGAGTCTAAGAAGTCAGACAAATAGGAGAATTAGGCTAGAGCAGCAGATACTTCTCCAAAAGGAGAATATTAAAGAAGGGGTAGTTAATAGCATCAGATGATGAACAAAGTTCAAGGAAGATGAGGACTAGGAAACGGTCATTAGATAGGGAAATTATGATGCCAACGGCAACCTTGGAAACATGGTTACAGAACATGGGGGAGAGAATTCAGATTATAGGAGGTTGAGGACATAGCGGCAACAGCTTCTCTTTCTAGAAGTTAAACAAACCACCTTAAATGCTATTAAACTGTTTTTGCAAAATGTACTCTGAGGACGGAAAGCTGTTTTGAAATTGTTGGGAAATGCCTGTTGAGTCAAAACCGAATGTATCTCATAAATTTAGATTACCTTAAGGAGAAAAGATCCCATAAATGTGAAAGTTTTATAAAAGCACAGTTTATTGTAGTAAAGAACTAGAAACAAGCAGGTACTCACCAACAGGGGACTGATAGAACAAGTATACGAATGTGATGTAATATTACTTCATGATAAGAAAAGACAAATGTGAAAATTTAGAGAGGAAATGCTTGTAGAAGAAGTGTACGATAAAGGAAGCAAAACCAAGAGAACAATTTACAGGATGATTTAAATAATGCAAAGGAAACAATCTCTGAAAGACTTCAGAACTGACCAACACAGTGACCAGTCCCAATTTCAGAAGACTTATGGATGAAGGAAGCATGTTTTCTACCTCTTAACAGAGAGGTGGTAGATTAGAAGTTCAGAATAAGGTGTGCATTTTCATATATATCTTTTTTCTTTTCTGATTACTTATTTGCTATAAGTGAGGGATACATTAGATAGGGAAAATCAGTGGGAAGGGACAGTGAGCATCAATGAAAATAAAAAAAATATAATTGTTAAAGTTCAGCTGCAAAGAATAGGAGCTAGCTTGAAAGAAGGACAATGGTTTGAGAGGGCAGTAAGATCAAGAGACATTTTTTCTTTAAGAAAGGATTGAAAATGAAAGACAACAGAGATGTCCTTGGAGAAACTTTCTGAGACACCCCATAAACTACAAAATTAAAGATAAACTTCTTAGTATGACATAATGTCTCTTATAACACGTGCCCAACCTATCTTTGCAACTTTATTTTTCACTACTCTCTTTGATCATATTGTTCTCACTATTTGGAATACCCTCCCCTATTTTTCAGCCTGTCAAAATCCTGATATCAATTCCTTCAAGATCCAGTTCAAACACAGTTACTAGCTGTGTGACCCTGGGCAAGTCACTTAACCCCAACTGCCTAAAAGCAAAAAAAAAAAATCTTAGAGCTAGAAGACAACTGAGAGATATCTAATCTAACCCCTCATTTCACAGGTAACAAAACTGAAAGAGACACAGCTAGTGAATGACAGAACTGACACCACTCACAGACAACAGGACTTTTCTTTGGACCACAGCAGGCTGCCTTGTGCACTATCTCTTTGAGTCACCTCTGATATTTTTGCCTTCTTTTGGTTGTTGGGGGACTAAATTACATGGAAAATAGATGGTTTTCACATCTAACTCAACCATACCTCTGCCTTATCTGACACATATATTCTGCCTACCCTCTGTCTTAAGAGTGTTAATTCAGATATTCTTCAAAGCACAATGAAAGGAATGATTCTCTTCTAGGAATGAAGGTCAAACTGAGAAAGTAGAAACAAAAGTGCAATGAAGACTAGGTATATTCAACAAGTTAGAAATGTGGCAGTTGTGCGTGTGTTTCTGTTTTGTTGTAGGCAGCTTGCATCAAGTAAAACCCCAAGAACGATAACAGTGGGAAAACGTACTGCTGCTCAGAGATCTAAAGGAGCTAAGTGGGACAATGTTTCTCCTCTGATACTAGAGTCTTAGGTATAAAACTGAATGAATTCAGTTCATGTATAGCAGCAAGAGTATAGGTAAAAAAACCCCAACAAAACACAAAACCTCCAGTAAGTAATAATAATCACATAACAAGTCAAAGATGTCTATTTGGTATTATAATTCATGGTGTAATAAATAAGAATACATTCCTTACAGCTTCAATGACTTGTATCCTGATAATACTGTAACACTGCTCCTATCATTTCCTTCTCCTGGACTCCTCCTCCTTTTCCCTATGATAACAAGCTAAAAGGGACCTTTGAAATCATCTAGTCTCCTACTCTCAGTTTACAGACAAGGAAATCAAGGTCCATATTTTAAAAGCTTATTGTTATACCAATACTGCAAAAATATTAAGTTATCTATAGAAGTAGGAAAAGAATGGGGCAGGTAGGTGGTGCAGTGGATAGAGCTCCGGTCTTGGAGTCAGGAGGACCTGAGTTCAAATCCAGCCTCAGATATTTGACACTAGCTGTGTGACCCTGGGCAAGTCACTTAATCTCAACTGCCTCACCAAAAAAAAAAAAGTAGGAAAAGATCTTTTTAAAATGTGCACACACTCAATACATATAAAAATAAAGGAATATGTTCTCCATTTCCTATTATATTTCTTCTAGTTAAGCAATTCCAATGCCATAACCCTTCCTCAGGCTCTCTTCTCTCTTCATCATCTTACTTTTTTATTCAATGGGCATTCTTCAATTTAAGTTGTTGGGTTTATTCTAAAGTACTATCCGGGACCTGTCAGCAAAAAAGTGGTAAGAGGGCCAAGGCAAAGGAGAGTGTTTCACTGATCTATCTATGGGGAACTTAGCAGATGAAAATGAAGTCCTAAGTTCCCCCCAAAAGGGCTTCTGATGTGAAATCTTCTTTGTACAATGCCCATTACTAGGCCAAAACTCCCACAAATACCTAATACATCACCTGAAGGGCAATGTAGAAAGGACGAGAGCTTTATGCTAAGAAGGTGGAAACTATAAAAAAAAGCAAACACGTATAGTAGTACAAAGCAGGAGATATTAACCTTTTTAGTGTCACAGACTTGCTTCAGTAGTCCGGTGAAGCCTATGGACCTTTTCTTAGAATACTGTTGTAAATGCATAGGCTCACAAAGGAAACCAAAATATTCAAATAGTTATCAAAATCTTTAAGAAAAAACAGAAACAATAAAAACCCAAGTTCTTGGACCCCTGAGGTCAAGAATTCCTAGAAGTCCAGATGGTACAGCAGAAAGAGTACCAACTTGAAAATTAGCAAACTGGAGTTCTGGTTGTTTCTACTATCGAGTAGGTGTGTGATTTAAAACAAATCATCTAGTGTCTGGGTCTCAATTATCCTCACCTATAAAACAATGAGGCCAGATGACCCCTAAAGTGCTAACATTCCAACTATTACTCAGATTAATTTTTCTCACTTGTAAAAACTGGAAAATACTGCATTTATTCTATCAATCTCAAAGATCAAAAAAGGTTGTGTGATTATTCGAAAAATATAAAAGAGGAAGTGACAAAAGATATTGTAGATAAAGGAAAAAAGGAGGAAGGAAAAGAGGAAAAAGGGAAATGCTAAGGAGAAAAAGTTAAATGCAATATGTTCTTGCCCAGATTTTAGAGATAAAGTTACATAACTCAGCTGATTCAGAGCAACGATAATTTAGGGCAAAGGGTAGCTACAGAAAAGCAGTAGCTTAAAAGAGGTATTTAAATTAATGTGGAACAATTTTAAAATGGGAAAAATAAATTAAGAGTGGGGGACATTTTATTATAAAGATAATAGTAGAAATGAGAATTGATATAAAAAATTATAACAAAAAAAGAGTTTTCTACTTTACAAAGAATCAAATGATGGTGGAGATCTCCAATAGCTATTTCAACATATACTGACAAAAGGATGTTTTTGTAGTTACAGAACAGGAGTGGTAAGTAAAGGAAGATTACAGTGATATTCAGTAGTTGAGACCTGAAAGAATTTTGTGTAGGGAGATAAAGGTTCAAAGTAGTTATGTTCAAGGCAAGAAATTTTAGAAAAGCCAAGATCTTTCATTCTGAAATGGTTAATATTCATCTCCACTGGTTTTAATTCAACAAGCATTTTTTGATGCCTATGTACCAAGCCAGTGGATTAGGTACTAGAGATACTGAGAAACTGTTCCTGCCCCCTAAGAAAAATCAGGAGTCTATTTAAAGATTAACCAAGACAATGGATGAGATATTAAAGGAAAACTGGTCCTTTGTACAGTCAGGTACTAACATTAGTAGGACATGAATTGTAGGTTCTTAGGCTACCAAGGATTAATAAACTAGAGTTAGGAAGTTGAATAAAAAGACTAAAGTTAATAGAGAACATTTCCAAAGATTAACCTTAACTTATTTAGTGACTCAGCTAGCAAACACTCCAATCAACTGTCACTGATTCAGCCACTATGGCTATTACAAACCACTCTAAGGCCTAATCCTTCTTAAAAGATAGTAGTGACTCTCCAGATTTGCTCCTCAAAGATGGAAATGTAAAATCTCCTGGTTGATATTGGGATCTATACATGAATACCGTGCAAACAAAAAAACACAGGACACTGGGAAGACAATTTTTCATTACAGACAGAAATGAAAAATTTGCACAAGTGTGGTTCACTTGACAAATTTTTCCTACCATCTAGTCGATCTCTCTATTCATTAGTGACTACTGGCTGATAAGCAATGAAAGAGGTAATCAAGATGAGCTGGCTATAATTATACAGATGATTAATACTTACATGAAAAACTGCGAACCATTAGTATCCTTTCCTCTATTGGCCATTGACAACAGAAATTCTTTGTTGTGTTTAACAGCAAAACTCTCATCTAAAGAAGCAAAGTTTTCAACCAGAGGTTAAACATGTGTGCACACACATACACACACACAAAATTCATGTTCACTTCCACTTTCTGACAAAATCTTTATGCTGATAAAGGCACATTTTAGGAAATGTAAGTTTGGAAACTGAGAGACTTCAAAATTTACAAAATTCTCCCCATCAATAGAGAAAAGTGAAAATAGTTCCACATCTTCCCTTTCCCATCTTGATTTTGTTCTTATAGTCAGTTCAATTCTATCTACACTGTGCTCTACTCTCCAATTTGCTACTTGTCCAAGCCCAACTGTGGGTTATCCGACTATCTGCTTCTTCTACCCCTTCTCACGTGCTGCTGACCAGAGCAGGAGGAAAATGCCCAGCAGTGTGGATTCCTGTGTTATAAATTCATATTGTCCAATCTCAATTGGGCCCTCAATGCAGTAACATAGCTCTGTTACTCCCCCTTCACCAGTGTTTCTATCCTGAGCTTTGGTCTCATATTGCTAAATGCCTACTGAAATTTTCAACCGTCCTCCATACCTCACCTCTGTCTCAAAGAATCCCTTTTTTCCTTCAAAACACAGCTCAGACATCATGTTCTCTAACAGAACTCTTTACTGATCCCTCCAACTGCTGGTGCCCTTACTTTTGAAACTACCTTGTATTTAACCACTTTGAATTTGTATGTATTCTTTTCATATTTATTCTAAATACTTATATATGTACTTTTCATCTCCCACCCAAAATAAGGTGAGGTTCTTTTGGGTAGGGGTTGGTTAGTTCATTATATTCCTGAGTTCTAGCACAGCGCATGGCACAAAGTAGGTGTTTAATAAATGCGTGTTGATTGCTATAGAATGCGTAAGTGTCGAATCATCAAGTTCTCCCCTTGTCCTACTCGATAACAGAAAGTCCCATATGAATGATGATCAATTTTTTTTCTTTAGTATACACAAGAAAATATGCAATTGTAAGTACGTAATAAAAACAGAGGCAAAATAACCCTAGTTATCTTAACCTTTTCTGTGTCACAGACCCCTCCGGCATCCTCATGAAACCCATGGACCCCTTCTCCAAAGAATGTAAATGAATGAAACACATAGAATTATAAAGGAAACCAATTATAATAAAAATATTTTTCAAAGTATTTTTTGGAAAGCTCATGGGCCTCAGGTGAAGAATTCCTGACCCAGAAGATAGAAAGCTAATCTCAGAGTGAGAATATTTGGGCTCAAGCTCTGCTTCTGATACATATTAGCTCTGTGACCTTATGTAAGACACTTCAAGTCTCATTTCCTCAAGCAACTCTCGAAGACTATAAATTGCATAGAGCAGCTGCTCATTTGCATTGGTTAATGAAATTTCAATTAAGGTTTGGATTAAAAATTTAAAAAAAAAAAAGGAAAAATACTTGCCCAATTAGACCCTCATATAAGTAGTAAATAAAGAAGAAACAAAAAGTTCTTAGTGGGGCTTCCTCTCATTCCTACACAATTGTTAAAGGAATTCTTTGACCAAAACAACAGGAGAAAACAAAAGAATGTTTGATGCAGTTTTTCTTCTGATGGGACTTTACATATCAAAAGTTTACAATTATGTAGTAATACTAGAAATCATTCTGCTGTAATTTAACTTTTTCCTTATCTAAACTTTTAAATAATTATGACACACATCGATCAATCAATAATAATTGATTTAAGTGCCTATCATGTGCCATGCAATATACTAATGAGATTATCAAGAAGTTTATGTAGTTTAATTAATGGTGACTACTTATCTGTCTGCTCAGTAACAAGGAAAATTTGAAACAAAGTTCGAATCCAAAATTAACAAATGAGAAAGGGGAAAAACACTTTCATATTAATAAAATTATATAGAAAATGGGGATCAAACAATCAATCTAGCCTCTGGTTCATGGCTAAATGGATATCTAATGATTCGTTCTTAATGATCTTCTTGTCCAGAGAAGCTGTATAGCTTCTCTCTTTTGACAGTGTAATATATTGATAGAATATTGATGGCTTCTTTGTTCAGAGGGCTATATAAAAATATTAACACATCTTTTTATATAATCACATTAATATATAATATATAAACACATTATATAAGCTATACATATAAAATGCAAAAATATATAAATACAAGCTATATAAACATATTAATACATCTTTCTGAAGATAAGATTTACATAGTAACAGTGTAAATGGATTGGTGACATACATCTAAAACAATGCAATCTGAGTTTCAACACCACAGCTTTGGTCAACCAAAAATTTCACAAAGCAGAGTTTTTAACCTTTTTTAAAAATAAAAATTAGGGAGGAAATTACAGACCAATTTTAGATGATTAAAAGTGGCTTTTATACAGTCACTGCTCAACTCAAAAAATATAAAACATGGCTAATGTTGAAATGTTTTACATGATTTCACATGTATAACGGGTATCATATTGCTTGCCTTCTCAATGGCTGGGGAAGGGGCTAGACGGAGGGAGATAATTTGAGATACAAAATAAAAAATAAATAGAAGTTATTGCACATATCTCTCAGACCAAGTTAGCCAATAATCTCTTGTAGTTGGCTTGGAAACAATACTGCTTAATAAACTGACTGTATGATATACTGATATTTGTAGCTCTTTAACAACAGTTGGAATAGACCAATAAAAAAACCTCAATTTGATGATAAAGATGCCCTATGTGTTTTAAAATTATTTTTAAAAATTCAATAAACCAATTTATTCACAGAAAAATTGACATTTGGACTACCTTACAACTATTTAAATAAGCATCTTAATGGTTTCAGAAGTTTGAGGGACTAAACATTATAGAAGAGTAAATATTAAATAGTAAACACATTTAATGCAAAATTTTTATGTTCATGTGTATAATGCTGGAATTAGAATACAGAGGAAACAAGTAATTAAAGTTTACAAGTATTTCTTTAAACACGTTACATATTAGTGACCCCAGAGATCTTGAACTCGATTTTCTGTGCATTCTTCCCAATGACTACAACCATATATTCAGACTAACAGCACATACTAAGAGCAAGCATCCTGAAAAGCAAGCTTTATACAAAGTACCCTTCTGATAAATCTGAATGACTTCCAATCAACAGAGAAGTATTTACCTTCAAAAAATCCTCCATAAATGGATTCTCCACCTCGTCCATTTCCTAGGAACAGAAAATATAATACATAAAGAGTTCATATATGAATATAAATTTTTAAAGACTTAAAAAAATCACAGCAACTCACAGAAGATTTTCAATTTATTTAAATATAAAAAATACTGACAAAGGGAAATAGGTTCCACAAAAATCCTACTCTTCATCCTCATTTTCCTTCATAATTTCTTGAAAGATGATGTCTAGACTCTTTTTTTTTTGATTATGGCTTTCAGATAGTCCAACAACTTTTAAATTATCTCTCCTGGATGTATTTTCCACGTCAGTTGTTTTTCCAAAGAGATATTTCACAAGTCTTCTATTTTTTCATTCTTTTGGTTTTGTTTTACAATTTCTTGATTTGTCATAAAGTCACTAAGCTTCCATTTGCTCCATTCCAATTTTGGGGAGAGCTCACACAAGTCACTGTTTTCACTCTGCCATCTTCATCTTCATCTCTGCTTCCTCATTAAGATATGGAAGTGATGCTAGAGTTTCGAAAGCTATGTGAGTGGACTGCAAGCTGTGGCAGACTCTACCACAATACACTAATCTTGAGCATGGATCCAAGGACAGCCAAGGACAGCCTAGTTAAATGCAGAGGCTCATTATCAATAGCTTTCTCATCAGGTCTACATTCTTTAGCTAAGATAACCCATGTAACAGATAAAAATTTTTTAAATGTCTCTCAGTCCGGTGCAGCACTATCCCATTTCTTCAGTTAGTGATAGCAGAAGAGGCAAAGGGTGCTAAGAATTACACAGTTCTGAGACAGTCTATAAGGATTACTGGCTAACATGCTAAATTCGAAATTTCTGTCTAATAAATGAATTGATCTACCACTGGAGGTAATCACATGAGAAGATACCAAATGCCACTCTGTCTCACTCCACCACTCCTGGTGACAAAGAATCCTACAGTGGTTAAAAAAATAAAGTATTTCAACACCCAATGACTCTTATCTGTATCTATATCATGATTACCATTCCACTTTTCATTTGCCTGACCCTCTCCAATGTACTGCCTGAAATTCTTCTTCCATAAATAACAAAATTCACTTCATTTTAGACTTCTTCCCCTCAAGCTCCAACAGATACCTAGAACACTTTAATACTAAAGGGGGAAGTTGTAATATCGCTTTCTCCTCATTTCTACCTCCAAACTCTTTTACCATAACCCAACAACTTCTCATTTGAAGTTCACTCTAACCAAATTTATGACAAATACCTACTGGCTCCCAGGCGATTTTCTCCTCCTTTTACAGTGGATTCAGGGACTGTCTCATCATTTCCTTCTATACCGTACTCCTGCCCTTATCCTAAAGGACCTCAATACACCTCGATACTCCCTCAATGTCAGTAAATAGCCTATTCTTCAATTTACTCAACTCTTACTACCACTACTCCTCAGCTATACTAAGAAATGATCATATCATTGGTCATATGCTTTATTTTGTCATCACCCATAACTGTATTCCATAATCAAAACTACTAGAATCCTTTATTAGATCATAACTTCCTATTATTCCATCCCTTCCTATGCCATACTACTCTTAAATGTATTCTTAATCTTTGCTGAGACCACTAACCCTTCCACTTTTCAGTATATTCTCAGGTCACTACCCCTGTTCTGTTTACACTTACCACTTTTTCCAATCTTAATCCTTTAATTAACCAGTTCTATTGTATACTATCCTTTTAAACCCCTTGGTCCCTTGTAAAACTTTAACCCTGGAATAGACTAGCCATCTATTTCCATTGCTCTTACTTATCCCATTGCTACTAAACACAGTTGGAGGAAACCACAGTTCTGACTGGGTCTAGTAGAAAATTGGTTATCTAATCTCAAATAGGCCTTCACTGCACCAAAAGAATCCCATTTTCTCTGCCTCGTTTTTTTTAACCCTTTGCAATTTGACATCTAACTTCATTACTCACCTGAAATGGCTCTACAAAGTTGCCAAAGCTCCCTTAATTGCTAAATCTGATGACCTTTTCTTAATCCTCACTTGTCTTTTATTTTATTCCCTGTCTTACTGGATATTCTTACCTCCTCTGGGTTTCTGTGACACATCTCTCCCTTTGTTCCTATCTGACTCAATTCTCAGTCTCCTTTGCTTGTTCATCTATATCACACTGCCCTGTGATTGTACCCCCAGTCTCTGATCTAAGGCCCTCTTCTGTCCCTTGGTGACATCATCAGTTTTAATTATCATTATGCAGATGACTCCCGGATATGTACATTCAATTCTAGTCTCTCTCTTGACTTCAGTTCTCTCATCCGCAACGGCATATTAGACCTCAAAACTGGATGTCCCATGGGCATCTCAAACTCAATCTGTCTCACTGTCTGCAACCCTACACAGACAAGCAAGGCCCAAATGTTAATGAATCGTCTCTTCAACATCATACTTATCACCCTTCTCTCCAATGACACAGCCACCAACCTAGTTTAGGACCTCATCACTTCTAACCTAAATTTTTTGCAATAACTTGCTAATGCATCTCCCTGACTCAAGCCTCTTCTCCCTCTCTAATCTATCCTATATATAGCTGCCAAAGTAAATTTCCTAAAAAACAGGCATTACTCTATCTATCCCCTATTCAAATTCCAACGGACCTCAATTACAGTTGGCATCAAATATAAACTGCTGTTTGGCTTCACAACTTAGATCAAATCTACCTTTTCAGCTTCATTTATACATTAGTTCCCTTTATACACTAAAGGCCCAACTATGCTAGCCTCCTTATTACTTCTCATACACAGTACTCCATCTCTTGTCTCTTTGTGCTTTTTCACTTGATGTCCTCCATGTCTGGAATGTACTCTTTCCTCACCTCAAATGCTGTAAATCATGTATCAGAAATGAATGGCTAATCATGTAGATATCATATGCACCAGGAGATCACTAAAGGTTTTAACAGAAAGTGCTACTGGTTTTGAAAAAAAGGTTTTTGAATACAAGTTATTCTCCTGTATGTGACCAAACTAATTATTTAGTTACTACTAGTATAACATACATACAATACATACATATATATGTTTAAAATACATGGAAACAGAGGAGGGAAATACGCTTTCACTTCAACAAATACATTTGTGGGTGTAACTAGTAAAATTTCATCTGATGCACCTACCTTCACTGAAGTCACCACCTTGAACCATAAAATCCTTTACAACTCTGTGAAAAAGACAACTTTTATAATGTAATGGCTTCTGAGTAGATTTTCCCGTACCCTTTTCACCTAAATAAAGGGGGGGGAAAAAGGTTTATTAAGAACAAAAAATAACCAACATCACCTATCTTACTCTTCACTCCTCTGGAAAAAGAATTCCTAAGACCAAAATTATGATTAAACTGAGCTTTCACTTTTGATTTTCATAAAACTTTATAAAATACAGGAAAAATCTCATTACAGCAAACACAATCACAAAATTCTTTTCTGAATCTGCTGTATCTCAACTTGAATAAGATAAATTCTTTTTAATGAATAATTCTGTAAAACAAACTTTTCCCCTCTTTGTTCCTTTCCACTTAATAGTTATCTATAATGAAAATATCTGATATTATTTAACATACGTGCTATAGAAAGGAAATATGGGAAGAGAAGAGAGAAGTTTTATTAAAAACAGAATTTAATGCCTAATAAAACCTTTAAAATCCTCTACTCTTAATTTCCTTTTTCACAGAAAAGGAAACTGAGACCCAAAGAGATAAAGTGATTTGTCTAAGGTAACAATGGCAGAGCTATGTTTGTGAGTTTCAATCTAGGACTCTTTGGATAAAACTACATTGCTTTCCTTTCAACTCTCATTTCCATCACCACCTAAGAGAAAAATCCACCTAAACTTCCAAGCTACCAAAACCAACAAAACTAAAAATCCTACAATAGTATCTGAAAATGTAAAGGAAAAACGTAGATTTAGAGCAATTTGCATGTTAATTCACTGAAGTTCTTTAAAAATGTTTTTGAGCCATGTCTTTTTTTAAATCTACCACTATCTTTAATGAGAAATTAAAAAAAATTTCCATCTATTATTTTAACCCCTCCCTCAAATTGTTGGTATCAAAGTCCATTCCAGTGTGTTTCTCTTCAATGAAATAGGAATATGTAACTGTCCTAATGAAACATATGACCAGACAATATCATTTTTAATCATTTTCAAACACTGATGCATTACTCAAGTAGTCTAATATTCTGTTCTTCAACTGAAAAAAGTATTTTAACTGTTTTTTAAAGACAATATCATAATTGCTTTTAAACCCACAAATGACTTGCAAAAGCAAATGATCAACCTTTTTTAATCTTCCCTCAAGATAAAACAAGAAAAAGACTTAAGCAATGATATGAAAGATTCGAATTAGGTAAAAACATGATTTTTTTTCATAGGGAATTATTACTCTCTCTCAGTTCTCTTCCTGTGTGACTGCTACTTCTCAGTTTCCTTTCCTGTATCATTAGACACATCACATAGGTAAGGAATACCTCAAGGCTTTGTCTCAGTCTCTCAGTGATATCATCAGCTCTCACAGTTTTAATAATCATCTCTATGCAGATGATTCCTATATTTTTTAGTCCATATGACCAATCTCCTATTTGACTTCCATAGGCATCTCAAATTGATCATGTCTAAAACAGAACTTATCTTTCCCTGAAAACCATCTCTTCAAATCTCCCTATTTCTGTCAAGTGTAGCACACCATTCATTCAGCTTCACATCCTTAAAGCCCTCTTCTAGTTCTCACTGCCCCCCTTCACTGCCCTCCTACTCTCATATCCAATAAAGTGGCCAAGCCTGTTGGTTCTATCTCCACAACATATATCAAATCTGTCTTTTCTCTGTTCACATAAATCACTAACAATTCAGGCCCTCATCACTGTAATCAGTGCAATAGCCTCCTAATTAGTCTCCCTGCCTCAAGCTCATCTCCATTTTAATTCATCCTTCAGTTGGCTATCAAAGTGATTTCCCTAAAGCAAAGATTTAACTGTCATTCCCTTATTACAAAAAAAAAAAACCTCCAGTGACTAAGAAATCATACATTTATTACTCAGAGCAAGTTGAATTTTCAACATGAAATTTATCCTGATTCCTCCTCACCCCTAGATGCTAGTACCTCCTAACCAAAATTACCATGTATTTATTTGGTATATACTTATATGTGTCTATGTTGTCTCTTCAGAAAAAATTTAAGCTCTTTGATAGCAGAGATTGTTTCAATTTTTTGTCTTCATATTATGGTTTACTGGGATTATGCTTGGTGTACTCTAAAGTGTTGATGGAATAGATAATCAATATGGGTTTTAGAATATGTAACCTCTGGCAAATCACTTAACTTCTTAGGACCTCTGACTCTTCAATTATATTTTAAACATTTCCTGAAAGATGAATTGCCATGCTACGAATCTGATATAATGGAATAAGAAAAAATCCTTAAACAAAGCAAAAAATAGTCACTATAAGATTTGACTTCATAAAGCAGATGGAAATATCTACAAACCTGTACAAAGACATCGGAAATTCTCACATGTTTTGGGACATACATCAGAAAATAATTCAAAGACAACTCTTCCAGCTGAAAAAGAGAATATATAGTTTAAAACAGGGGCAGCTAAGTAGCACAAACAACAGAGTGCCAGGTCTGGAGTCACAAAGATTCATCTTCCTGAATTCAAATCTGACCTCAAACACTTACTAGCTATGTGACCCTGGGCAAGTCAGTCAACTCTGTTTGCCTCAGCTTCCTCTTTTGTAAAATGAGTTAGAAAGGGAAATGGCAAACCACTCCAGTTTCTCTGCCAAGAAAACCCCAAATGGGGTCATGAAGACTAAGACATGACTGAAAATGACTAAACAACATATTTTAAAATAGCTTTGTGTGCTATTTAAATACCTAAGTTAGGGACTGATCCCATGATTTTATCAGTACAGGAAGCTCCCAGATTAGCAAACTCCCTCTACCAAAGCAGGTCAACACCTTCTCTGCAACTAAAAATCCTAAAGAGCTATTTAGGAATGATTGGGTCGCACAGCTAGTATATGTCAGAGGGCAGAGCTTGCAGGCAGGTTGTTTTCCTGGCTCCCAGGCCAGTTCCTTATCAGCTTGTTCCACACTGCTTCTCATTTAATATAGATCCACTTAAATATATACTACTTTAAAAAGATAAACTTTTTTTCAGTGTGAATTTTCTTACCAGGTAGATTGTTTATGGCTATGTCAAAAAAACATCGAGGACGTTGGACCTTTATTCCCATGGTTTCAAATACTTCTAAACTACATTCAAAATACAGGTTTAAAAAAACCTGTATTTAACCAGCAACAATTTCTTGGCAACTTCTGTAGAAAAATTCTGGAGGGACAAACAGAACACATAGAAATTTTGAGGCAGTATTTACTTCAAATCATTTTTTTCTGAAATGCATCAAATAAGTTATTAGTTTATATATTTCAGGGCTTCAACAGATCTGTGATCTTATAAAAGGGGAAAATGATACATTTCCTCTTATGTATTACAGAATTTAGTTGATCTGTTGAAACTGTCATTTTACCCCTAGATCCTAAATAATGTTTCAAACACAGTATGTTCTTAATATGTGTTTGTTGAGGTGAATGAAGTTATTAAGAAAATATTACACGTGGAATATATACAACTTCCACTATTCCCATTTCTCAGCATGGTATAGAAATAATTCTGGGTTCTACAAGACTATACAAATGGAGAACAAAGGATTTGACAGGTATCAAGTTGGAATGTCTTTGGGTACAATATGTTCTTTTGGTTTTCCAAAGACTAACCTAGTTAAATTCAGCAAAGCTCATCACTTGGTTGAATGCAGAATGAAAAATATTTTGACCAGAGCCATGGTAAATTTTTGAATTCTACAATCTGCACTGGTGAAAGGAGCATTCACCTGGATGCAATGATACATCCTTGAAGATGTGTATATAGTTTAATCATTCGATTCAATTAGGAGACTTTACCACAGTGATTCATGTTGATTCCAATTTTGTAAATGGAAGATTAAATTGTACACCTAACAAGTAGGGTACAATTTATACTCTAAATACTTTAAAGTTAAGAAAAGAGGTAACAAGACAACTACACTTACCTTTAAGCTGAGAAGACAAAAATCAACGACAACTGACCAACTGATCCAATTCTACTTTTACCTAGAAAAAATGAGAAAGGTAGGATTACTTGATAGTTTATGTATATAAAAAATAATCCATCTATAATAAGAGTGCCAAATTACTAGAAGTAGATGGAGTCTACTGAACATGCTTTGCTAGTGTTTTGCTTTTCTAAATATCAACATTCAAAAAATGAAAATACAGGCAAGGTTCTCATTTTAGTGAACATCAATATCATTATGTTCTAATAGGTTATTTCCATGTCTTACCTGGAAGCCCATAAAAATATTGCTCTATTGAAGTAGACACAAGTTCCATGAAACAATAAATTCACAGTTCAGTTAGCAGAAAATCTGACAAAAATGTCCTTTGGTCTAATCTTACTCTGATCCCTTGCTGTAGGATATAGAGGTTACCCTCTGTTCTCAGAGGTTATAACACCAGAAAAAAAAATTTCAATAGGCCTTACCAAGCTAAAAATGTTTTATGTATGGGTCTAGACTGTGTTATCTGAGGAGCAGCCTAAGTATACTGTGACTCAATCACCAGGTGAACCAAAAGGTGATGAATTTTTCACTCACAGTATATTAAAGCCCATATGCACTAGAAAAAGAAACAATCATTTCCACTTATGACATTAGAGATCTGAGAAATATTAATGTCTTTTAAATAAAGTACACATATATTTGGATATCTGCATAATGTGAAATCTTTTATAAAATATGCCATGCTTTTTCTAAGTGACTGATTTTCACTTTTTTAGTTTCATAGTACAAAGTAGATGTTTCATGATTGTAAATACTCATTGCTAGGGAGGCCAAAAAATGATACAACTAATTGTTTAAGGTAGAAATAATGTATAAAATGCTTAAAATTTTGTTTTTGTTTTTTTGCAAATATATAAAAGTAAACTTGTAGTTAAGAAAGTAACTAAAGGTGCTTCCTGTCTCTCTGTTACTATGAAAAACCTCAGATTTCCCTATAAAGCTATTGCCCTAGATTATTAATGGTCCTGGAACAATCTTTTAAAAGGCATTAGGAGGTTGGGGAGAGAAAGAAAGTAGAATGCAGGCTAGGACTATGTCTCCTACTCACAACCAACAAAATGCACAAAGTCTACCTTATTTCATAATCAAATACAGTCACAGAAGGCCAAGGGCCAAGATAAAAAGAATTACAAACATTCAGGCACTGAACATTTTTTGTCAAAGAAGTTTCTAAAAAGACAGCCTACTGGGTAGTGGGCAAATGGAAGAATATATTCACAAATGAATATGTTATTTAAAAAAAAACAACAAAAAGTCTAAAAGACCAAAAGCCCATCTAAATCTCCAGATATAAAGCATTTCCAGATAACTATTATAGCAGGTTTGAATTTTTAAGAAGGTCTGCAGACAGTATAGTCCTTCAAACTTGTAAAAATCTGATTCAAACTACATATAGATTTGGTTTCTATTAAAATGACATACATTAAAAATGTACTGGGAACGAAGTGAATATAACCCAGAATGAATTTTGAGGGAACCCAACATGCACACAATAAAGTTTGTGGATAGAGAATTCCTGGTTCTAGGATCCCCAAAATAAGCTATTTCAATTCTTAGATATAATTTTACCGATAGGATCTAGAAATCAAAGCACCCACAATCTGCAATTTTAGCCCCTTTACCCAAAATTATTTTCCAAACTAAAAATACCTCAATAAAATTTTTATACATTGTCTTTGTTCCCATGCTTTGTAGATGTGTTAGAACATGAAGTAGTGTTTATTAACTGGTGGATCCTCCCTCTTGGAGATATTTTGCTTTCCTCTCTCGTAACTTTCATATCTATTTACTTACATATATTATCTTTCAAAAAGAACTGGGCAGAGTTTGACTTAAAAATTGCAGAATGGAATTGGATTTATACATAGTCTTCAGAGAGAAGGCATAGGGAATAATATCACCTAAGGAAAAACGAACTAACTTCTAGTTAGGCCAGAGTGGGAGGTGGGGATTAACCTGACCTTTCTCTAGCTTCTCTCCCCCTCCCCCATCCAGATGTAGTTATTATACCAAGTTTTTCCCAAAGCAACATTGTCAAAACATTTTCTATAACATGACACAGATACAGGTAACAAGACTTTTCATAGCCACCAGGGGGAAAATATGGTTTCCCAATACCTACAAGAAAAAAGTTGGCCCTGGTCTTCTACAATAAGAAGTCTACCTTTTCAATTTTATCTCCCACTATTCTAACTATATTTATGCCATGTGTTTCCTTTCTTTTCTTCCCTTTTGTCCATGGTATTTCTCTCACATATGATAATTCACAGACATAGGAAGAATAATGGATTTGGAGCCAGAAGACCTGTCTGTGCTTTGCTGCTCATTCACTGTATGACCTTGGCAAAGTCACTTTACTCACTCTGTGCCTCAATCTCCTCATCTGTAAAATGCAGATGAAATCTGTGGTTCCTTCTAGCTCTAAATTTGTGATCCTATGATCCCTAATATTGAAGTAGAAAATGATCACCCTGTTTTTCAATGGGAAGCTTGAAGTCATTAAAAATACTTCTTTTGCGTAATTCGGTAATTCTGTGCCTAGCTGGCTGTCTACCTGCAGTCTGTTCAAGACATACATACTAACAGATCAGCATATATTAATTGTAAATCATAAATTGGACAATAAACTCTTTAACCCCTTGCTTTTAATGGTGTTAGTAGAATGAACCCTTCTGAGTAAGAATCTTATTTAAGACGCCCTGAAATGTTCTGAGGCCTGGTGCAATGAACATAATGGCATCCACAAACAAAAGGAACCAGAGGAACCTACCATCAATAGTGAATAACTGTTCCATTTGTACTCTGCCTTCAACATCCTCCAATAAACATTTCTGGTCAGATTATATCTTCCTACTGATGTTAATAACCACTAATCCGAAAAAGGTATTTGTTATTACATCTTTCAATCAAATATTAAGCACTTATGTGCCAAGTACGAAAGAAACAAACACTATGAATGCAACAACTCTGACTCCCAGGCTTATATGCTAATGGAGAAGACAGAAAGCACATCCATGAGTATATGCAGAAGAGATGCAAATAAACAGAAAGTCGTTTGGGAGGAAGAGCACCAGCAGTTGAAAGTAATCAGAAAAGCTTTCATGTGACATTTGATGAGGTCACCAAATAAGATCACAGAGAGAGAAGACAGCCTAGAATAGAGAATCTTGGGATACAACCAAAGTTAGGTGGCATGATCTGAACGACGGACCAGTAAAGGAAACTGAGGAGTAATCAGAAAGGCAGGAGCAGAACTTGGAGAAAGTGGCATCATGAAAACCTAGGGAATAAAGAATATATAGAGAAGAGGATAGTCAACAGTTTGAATGCGGTAGAGAGGTGAAGAAAGATAGCCAACGGAGAAAAGATGGTCAGATCCGGCAAGTAAAAGATAGATGGTAACTTTGGAAAAAGTAGTTTCAATTGAGTGAAGAGGATGCAAGGGAGAGAGGTGGAAGTAGTTTGAACAGTTTTTTCAAGCAGCTTTGACTAAGAAATATAGGATGTGGCTGGAGATTATGAGGCAATAAAGTTGAGGGGATGGTAGTCAAATGAAGGCTTTTTTCAAGGAATAATGGATGATCATGATATAAGCAGAATAGTCATCTTTTGTGAGAGACTTTAGGTGCATTTTCTCTACACAGAATCAGATTTCTTTTCTTTTTAGTTCATAAACAAGAAATATGTTGAAATTTCTTATCTTCTGTGCCTTTCAGTCAACATTTTGATAGTTGTTTTCAAATACCCTAATTTTCCAGTTCATCAATCTACAAAATTCCCATGACCTCTATTCCACCTCAGCTATACACACAAGCATGATTGCACTAACCTCTACAAACGTTCTATTTTAATAATCAAGTATAACGATAAATACCTTTTATCCAATCATGATCACCTGTCATCCCTTCTTTCCCTATGCTTTATTATTCCCTAAATTCATTCTTCATTCTCACTGTCCTCTCTAACCTCAACCAGAACTCTAGGCCATCAACCCTACTTTCCCCTCCTTTTCCTCATCTTAGCTCCTTCGTGAACTCTACAATATTCTCTACTTTCAAAACCTGAGTTGCTCCCTTGTTCCATCACTGATCACACTTTACCAAATCCTAACTCTGGATTATCCCCACCACCCACCTTCTTTGTTGTTCTTTCTATATACTATTTCACTTGGTCATCTCATCAGCTCCCATGGATTTAATTTTCACTTCTATGATGATGATTCTCAAATCTACTTATCCCCTCCTTTCTGCTTCTCTTCAGTCTTACGTCTCCATCTGCATAACGGACATCTGGATGTCCTGTAAATATTTTAAACTCAATATGTCCAAAAATTCATTATCTTTCCTTCCAAATCCTTCCCTCTTGTAAAGGTTTTTATTACTGTGGAGGGCATCAGTTATTCTCCTTATCACTCAGGCTTCCAACCTCTATCCTCCACTCCAGTCTTGCAACCTCCTCCCCAATACAATCCATTGTCAAGGCCTGTCAATCTTACTTTCAAAGTATCTCTCATATATCCTCTTTTCTCCCCTCTGCCACTGCCACTATTCTGATGTAGGCCCACATCACCTCATGCCTGGACTACTGCAAAAGCTACCAGTTGGGCTGACTTGTCACAAGTCTCTCCCCTCTCCAGTCCATCCTCCAACTCAACTGTCATATTGATCTTCCTAAAGCATAGATTTGACCATCTCACATTCCTAAATTCCAGTGGCTTCCTATCATCTTCAGGATCAAATATAATTTTTTAAAATTGTGTTTACTATTTTATTTTTCCCAAATTACATGTAAAAACAATTTTTAACATTTGTTTTTAAAACTTTGATTTTCAAATTCTCTCCCTTCCTTCCCTCCACCTTCATTGGGAAGGCAAGCAATCCGATATAGGTTACACATGTGTAGTTATGCAAAATATATTTCCATATTAGTCATGTTATGAAAGAAAACACAGACAAAAAAACTCAAGAAAAATAAAGCTAAAAAATATGCTTC